GTGTGTGTGTGTGTGTGTGTGTGTGTGTGTGTGTGTGTGTGTGTGTGTGTGTGTGTGTGTGTGTGTGTGTGTGTGTGTGTGTGTGTGTGTGTGTGCTGTTAAGTTCGCTTGGCCACGTTGTGACTCATTCCTGTACACATCTGCTTGTTGTCTCTTCTCCGCTCACTGCTTACACTTCTTCCTTGCCAACTGCCGCCCCGCGTCCATCAGCATCTTCGCCATGTCCAACCCAACGCATCTGTCGGAGTGCACGGCGCAGCAGGCGTACGAGTGGACGGATGGCCGGGCCACATTTGCCAGCGGGTCTCCGTTTGATCCCGTCACCGTCACAGATGCACACGGCAAGCAGCGCACACTCGACTGCTCCCAGGCCGTGAGTTGACGCAGACATGGACCTCGTATCTGTATGTGTGTCTGTGTGTGTGTCTGTGTGTGTGTCTGTTTGTGTGTCTGTGTGTGTCTGTGTGTGTGTCTGTGTGTGTGTCTGTGTGTGTATGTGTCTGTGTGTGTATGTGTGCGCATCTGTACGTATGTGAGTGTGTTGTGTTGTGTTGACTTCAAGTCGCCTGGTACTCACGGCGATGTCCTTATTTTGCATACTGCCCCAAATCAACTCACATCCACCCTTTTCCACCCCATTCCCACCCCTTCCCCGCCTACAACGCACACACACACACACACACACACACACACAGAACAACATGTACATCTTCCCTGGCCTTGGGCTGGGCGTGGTTGCCTCCCGCGCCAGCCGCGTGACAGACCGCCTCTTCTACGTCGCCGCCCAGCGCCTCGCCGACTGCGTCTCAGACTCAGACCTCGCTGCGGGCAAGGTCAGGCCCTGGGGTGTGCGGGTGTGCGGGTGTGCGTGTGGTTGTGTGTGTGTGTGTGTGTCTGTGGTTGTGTGTGTGTTTGTGTGTGTGTGGTTGTGTGTGTGTTTGTGTGTGTGTGGTTGTATGTGTGTGTGTGTTTCTGCCGGCCTTCCTAGCCCCCTCCCAGTATGTGCCGCTTTTGAGCACTACCACTTCCATACCTTTGCATGAGACCAAGTGCGTCTTCATGTCGTTTTTCGAACAACACGCAATGTGCAGTCGCCACTCCTCACCCCTTCTCTTCTTCTCCCACGTGGTCCAGGTGTTCCCGCCCATCTCCGAGATTCGTGAAGTGTCACGCAAGATTGCTGTCGCCGTCGCCATTGCCGCATATGAGGACGGCCTCGCACGCATCTCGGGCAGCGGCCAGGACTGGTGCGTTTGTTATGTTGGTTTGGTTATGTTTTGGTTTGTTGCGTTTGCATTGGCACTGTTTTCTGTGGGGTTTGACCTTCTCCAACTCACTTGCACCACACACACACCCACACACTCTCTCTCACGAAACACACACACACACACACACACACACACACATGTTTGCAGGTACTCCCGCGTCGGCGACATCATGTGGGAGCCCGTGTATCCACAGCTCGTGCGCGCCAGCTCAATCGTTTGATGTTTGACAACACAAACAATCCACACGTGCGCGTGCCCAGCAGCCACACAGTCACGTCTGCTTGTCGCTCTTCTTTGCTTTTTTTGCCCTTCCATGCTTCTTTGCCACGTATGTCACAACCCATAAACCCATGCACGCAAAGAGATGCAGGGAAGATGTACACCAGCGGACAGCAGACACACACACACACAACAACAGCAGTGGAAGGGGGATCCACATGCACCAAACACAAGTCATGCCATGCATGCGATGAGTCATCGCACGCTCCCATGGGTGTGATGACTCATCAGTCAGTGCTAACAACAACAAGATGCACCACCACCCATTTTACCATCCACCACCAGTGAACAAGCACAACAGGACACAAACACACGCTCCTCTCCACCTCCACCTCCTCCTCGCGCACCCTCAACCACACCCATGGCCGATTGGTTTGCGCGACCGTCAAACCATGTGCTGGTCATCTATCTCCGCAACGACCTGAAGTCGGAGGATGCGCTGGCGCTGTTTCGCCGCGTTTGTTTGGACCACGGCCTGCGCATCACCGATGACAGCGCAGCCAACGGCCAGCTCATGGCAGAGTGCATCGGCGGTCAAGTCGAAATGGAGCTCATGGTGCGTGCGTGCGTGCGTGTGTGTGTGTATGTGTGTGTGTGTGTGTGTGTGTGTGTGTGTGTGTGTGTGGTTGAGGAAGCGTTGAAGCGTGGTGAAGGTTGGTGGAAACATCAACAAGCGCTCATGCCACCCCCTTCCTTACGCCGTCTCTTAATCACTCACTCTTGCAGGCGAGAGCTGGGAGGCACCCCGTGAACGGAAACATGCTGATCATCGAGTACAACCGCTACATTGGACAGAAGGTGGCGTACGCCATCGCCGGCGTCGTGCTTGTTGTGGTCGTTGTGGTTGCCGTCGCCCTCATCGCCTCGGCAGTGAAGGACTCCGATTTCTCCAAGGATGTCGGTCACTGTTGCAGCCGTGCCAGTCACGGTGCCCTGCATGCCACGGCCGAGATCATGTCCGGCATGGCGGAGGGCCTTGCCCGTGGTGCAGCTTACGGCATGATTGACACCGCCGTCTACAATCCACCGCCTCGCATCGACGTCCAAACCATCATCGTGAGTTGCGTTGGTGTGTGTGTGTGTGTGTGTGTGTGTGTGTGTGTGTGTGTGTGTGTGTGCGTGTTTGTGTGCGTCGAAAGCAGCGTGTCTCCTTGCCTTCCCCAGCCAAATTGACACGAGCTGGCGCCTGTCTTGAACGACTCACAATCAACCCCCACATGTCGCTTTGACACTGATATGTGTGTGCTGCATTGCCAGATTAACCACAGCGCCGACTGCACGCCTGCGCATGCGTTCAGCGATCGCGCAGAGTTCTTCGACTACTTTTACGAGAACACAAAGAGGTGATAGAGCTAACTTTACCTCTGTTCATGTGTCGTCACACGCTCCCTGCTGTCATCCGCATGTACACCGTGCACCATAACATTACACACACACACGAACAAAGACACACACACACACGAACACACGTTGTTGCTGTTTCACATACTTTTCCTCCACCACCTCCACCTCCTCCTCCTTCACACCGTGCCTCGTCTGCCCATACAACCATCCCCCCCTCTCCCCTTCACGTCTGACTCAACCACCAGGTTCTTCTTCAACTGCGGGCTCATTCGTCTCCCCAACCGCGATCCGCTCAGCGCCAAAGCCATTCCCCTCAACGGTGTCGTCAGGCAGCACAAGTGAGTTGGTTGGAGGAAGGGGGGGGGTGATGGGAGAGGTTACAGTGGATGGGTTTTCTCGACTACCCACGCTCGCCTGCTTGTAGCGGCCGACACACCGTTGGGGACTTGCTGCCTTGACCCACTGGTGTCACAATCACTCATTCACAAGCACTCATTCACTCATTTACAATCACTCATTCACAAGCACTCATTCACGATCACTCATGTAACCTCCCCCCTCCCCAACCATGCACACACACACACACACACAC